TGCATGATTACTGTATTTTAAGGGTTGTGCAAACCAGATAAAGGAAAGCAAACATGGAATTTAGTTAAACCTATGATGAAATTTCCGCTAATATGAATCAAAAATGTATCTCCTTAAAAATGTATGATGGAATTTCCCACCTCGCCAGGCCAAGGATCAATACTTTTGCCATCAAAAAGCTTTAAATATCATCACCATTTTCTGGCTTACACAGAAGTATTAAAGTATGATAAGCGTAATACGCAGTTAAAGTACACGCGGTATGAAAATATAATTGCGTAATGTACATCTGGTCTTCCTGCCTTGAGCATAGGCAGGACTGCCTCTAGACTTCTAAAGTAGTTAAAGGCAGCCAGAGTCCTACCCTTTTGTCGCATATTTCACCATCCCAGCCGGGGTCACAAATGCAGGCCGAAGAGGAGTAGTCGAGCGAGGTCAAACAAGTGCCATGCACACATATCAGATAGTCACAAGCTCCTGAGCGCGCAGCGCAGTTTTGGTAGCCCAGAGTAACGTCTTCGCGGAATGGTTTGACACATTTACATCTGTAGCGTGAAGTGCCCACTATTGGGATGCATGAAGAAACGTTGGTTGACCCGTCTATAGGACTGGAACGTACAGACTCGCCGCGCATGTCAACGTTGCAAAGAGTGTTGCCATTCGTTAATTGGCTATAAAAATACAAAAAATGTGGAGGGAGAAATCTCATATTCAGTGATACTGCTGAATTTACAAAAAAGAAGGAAGGCCTGGTATTAAAACAAGGTTTAAATAGTGTCCTAATTAAACCAGAGAGCAGTTGGGCACAATGTTTTGTCAATGGTATTCGAATTCACTAATCTATTACTTACAATCTTAATTGTCAAAAATATTCATCACTCTACGTCTCAAATATGGGGACATTTGCATTATTCTTTTCCGCAGGTCTTGCAACATTAATAAGAAAAAACTATAAGTGAAATACGATGAAGTACTGTTATTTTGATTTTCATGCGACTGAAATTAAATTAGCCTTACTTCCAAAAAGGATAAAAATACCTTATTGGAAGCATGAATAAATTAAATTTTAAATTGAATCGTGAGGTCTAGTCCTAACATTTTGATAAAATTCAGCTATCAATTCTTTCTCAAATGCGATTTGATGATTAAAACTCTTATTTAAGATCTAATTATAGTCCTGTAACTTGTTTGCCTACTTGCTTACTATATGTAAAATTTAGTGTTTTTTTAATGTGGTAAGATGTTTGCTTCCAGTTGATGGATTTCTAGAACTTGACTGTAGTAAATCATTGGTAGATCACTTACCTATGTAAAACATCGCAATTTCGAGTAGGGCATATTCTTCCTGGAACTATGAAATCATTACTTGGAGTCTCGAACTACAATGTATCGTTGAAAGGGCTTTCATTTCGCATGAAATTGACTAAAGACGAGATTTGACGTCCGAAGTCACTAGAAAGAGACGGCGAGTTCCGTTGTACGGGAGACTTTTGGCTTTAATATGACGTTAAGGGTGACACAGACACCCTCGTTTCGGGTGCAAATGAGCTGAGCTTCCGTCCATCATATGATTGCTATCATCAGATAAGTAACTTCTTCTGGACATCATCAGAGCTAGGTCTCATTCCTGTAAAAGTCTCACGTTAACACTAGGGCAAGAGGACAATCCGGCTCTATTTTACCTCAAATATAGGCCCAATAAAGCAAAATAAAAAAACTAAATAGATATAGAGTAGTTTGGCTAATTATCTTTCATAATTGTTGAGCTTACTTCCATTTCGAGTGAAATTATTTGGTAAAGAGATTCGAAAGTCGATTTCACCAGAAGACGACTGCGGATTCCTCTTGACCAGCTGTCGATTGGCTTTACTGGAACATTAATGGTGACGCTTTTTTCGAGGTAATCTCCTTCGATTCTTGTGAATAGGTGGAAAGCTTTCGTCCGTCATATGACGAACATCATAAGAGTAAGGTATCATCGTTATAACTAAATTCAAGCTAACAAGACTGCGTAAGTCTGTAAACAAGTGTGGTTGAGATAATGAGATATGAGCTTGTAAGCATGAAAATCAAGTTACGAAACCATTTGTCCTAACTTCTCAGTCTATATTCCTTAACATTTACCCCCAAGGAAAAGCATGACTGGGGCTGTGTAATCTGGCACGTCTGGTTTGGTTGATGAGCTTAATCTAACACGTTGGGAGAGGGTGAGCGAAATTAGAACCATCACATAGAAGACAAGTTGAATCGCCTTATTTTGAATTGCGGCTCAACACCCTCTCTTTCCTTCAATTTATCAATCAAGCATAAGTAGTTTCTACTCAACTTTCTATAACCATTCCTCACATTCAAAGTATTTCCTAAGCTATTAATTTCAATAGCCTCTCTTATCTGTCTTTAAACCACAGACGTACCATAATCAGCAAACCTACCAGTTTGAGGTCATTCTATTTCATATTAAGTTTCTACCATGTGTTCGGCCACTTCTGACCGCTGGATCCAGCTTCTTTTACAAGCATTTTTGTGTTCTGTCAATCTTTGTCAAATGGATCGGCTTGTCTTACCAGCATAACATCAACCATATGAGCAGACAATCTCGTAGCAGCCGGATGTCGATAATAAGTCATATTTCTCTCTAAAAGATGGCATAACAGAGGAAACTTTGAGAGTTCCTTTGAACACTGTTTTTATCCCCCACTTTCTTACTAATTCCCCTACCGTTTTTGAAAGAAGCCATGATGGCAAAATTAGGACATGGGAAAACGTCTCAGTCTAAAAATGTATTCATCAGTAGAGAGGTATTATTCTCAATAAGGCCCAAAGGATAATTATTTTCCAGGAATATATTTGTCAGCCATTCCAACTCTTTAGTCAAATGTTTTTATCCACTAGCCTCATACTTCTTATAATCATTTACTTCAAAATTCCAACCTTAGTTTTGTGACTATGGTTGGAAAGGAAATTAAGCAGAGCCAACATATGTTGGCTACCTATAATGATCTCTTCTTAACTAATCCTCTTTTCTAATTATGAGCACATCCAGAAGAGCTAAGAACTTATTTTCTTCCATTTTCATTGTGAACCTAATATTCCCTTCACGCTGGTTGAGGGAAAGTAGGAAATTATCTAAACTTTCCTGACCATGAGACCAGATGACAAAATAGTCATCCGTGTATCTAGCCCACAATTTGGGGGTTAGTATCGCATCTTGAAGGAAGTGTGCCTTCAGCCTTGCCATATAATTGTTCGACAAGATGGGAGCGAGGCAAGATCCCGTCGCTAGTCCTTGTGTTTGTTCGTAAAACTTACTATTGAAGGTAAAATATGTGGTACTCATGGATAGGTTAATAAGTCTAATAGTAAAATCTAAACTAAACCATATTCCTTGTTTTATCTCTAGATGCTCTTCCAGAGTTTGTATCAGAGCTTGAATAGCTCCTTGCACAGAAATGTTTGTGTACATAGACACAACATTAAAGCTTACTAGCATATCCTCCTGAAAAATGGTCTGTTGATCTAACAATTTCACAAAATCATACGAACTTTTTACTGAATATAGCCAAAGATTGTCGATTAAGCAAATGTATTTTTCCTATTACAATCGACTACATCCCCTA